CCATGGGATTTTCCAGGCAAGAGTACTGGAGTGGGTTGCCATTTCCTTCTCCAGGGGATCTTCCCGACCCAGGAATCGAACCGGGATCTCCCGCATTGTAGGCAGATGCTTTACCATCTGAGCTACCAGGGAAGCCCCATAGTAAGTGTAAATATGAAATTTATCTATAGATATATGTATAAAGTATAGTATGGTCACAGTACTAAGTCATAGTATAAACTGTATTTCTTACTGTAGATCATGGCTAAAATTTTTAAAAAACATTTTGCCTAGGACAAATAGGAATGAAATCACAGTATTACCTTAACTTTCTTTGTGATATCGTCTCATTTCTAGTTATGTAATTTCTGGGGAAACTGAGGAGAATGGGAATGTGGATCAAACTGATGAGGATCTAAGTTCAAGGAAGGTGAACTTGCACAGGTTATTAAAAGGCTTTTTAAGCCTTTGTTAAGGATTTTAGGTTTTATCCTGAGATAAATGGAAAGTGAAGTATAAAATTTTTAAATTTAGCCACCATTTTGTTTGTAACTGTGATTAAATTATGAAGGGAATTGGGGAACTAGGATTGAATAAGGCCTTTCTGGTAAGTGTTCTATTCCTTTAATAAACAGTTATTGATTGTATACTATGTTTCAGATATTGGTTTATCGTCTCTACTCCCATCTGCAAAATAGGTTTTATAATCCTTTTGGAGTTACTGTGAACATTAAATAAGGTGATATGTATTATGTGCACATTTAAGAGAGATTTCAGTGACCTTTTCTTTGCCTCTTTAGGACCTAAGCCTGAAATAGAATGTCTTGCTTTGTCATACAATTCCTGGAATAAATAAACTTCAGAGAGACCTATACAGAAATTACCTGCAGTCCAGTGTTTAAGACTCGGTGCTTTCACTGCCCGAGTTCAACCCTGATCAGGGAATTAAAATCCCACAATCTGTGTGGCATGGCCAAAAACAAACAAAATGAAACAAACGAAAGCTGAGAAAGACTTACAGCTAATTCAGTTTCTTTTTATTTGAAAAGAAAGTAGCGGCTATTCTCAATTTCTTTTTGTAACATCAGGCTCTTCCCATGGGAGACTATAACACCGACATAATCCTGAGACGGTGAAGTTGTCAGAACGATTCTTTAAGTAAATCAACATGGAATCTTTCTGTCTTTTCCTTCCCCGCCCCCAAACATTATATTGTGTGTCTGACCACATTGGGGTTTTCTTTTTCTTTTTGAGGATGGACAGCGTCACCGTGGGGTCACACTTCCACTGAACGTCTTCATTTCCCTTCCCACTTTAGATTTCACCACCCCATCCTCAGTCCCCTGGAGAGCAGTTTCCAGCTGGAGGCCGACGTCCTGAGTCACCTCCTGAAGGCCCAGGCTCAGGTCTCCGAGTGGAAGTTCCTCCCCTCCTTGGTGAATTTGCACAGCGCTCACACCAAACTGCAGACTTGGGGCCAGATCTTTGAAAAGCAGCGGGAGACCAAGAAACATCTGTTTGGAGGGCAGTCTCAGAAGGCCGTTCAGCCCCCACACCTTTTCCTTTGGCTGATGAAACTCAAAAACATGCTCCTTGCCAAATTTAGCTTCTACTTTCACGAGGCGCTGAGCCGACAAACGACTGCTTCAGAAATGAAAGCGCTGACTGCAAGAGCCAGCCCCGACCTCTTTGGAAAGATCTCCAGCTTCATCAGGAAATACGACGCTGCCAACGTGTCGTTAATCTTCGACAACCGAGGTTCTGAGAGCTTTCAGGGTCACGGCTATCACCACCCCCATTCCTACAGAGAGGCCCCCAAGGGCGTGGATCAATATCCGGCTGTGGTGTCTCTGCCCAGCGACCGGCCTGTCATGCACTGGCCCAATGTCATCATGATCATGACGGACCGCACATCCGACCTGAACAGCTTGGAGAAAGTGGTCCACTTCTATGATGACAAAGTTCAGAGCACCTACTTCCTCACCCGCCCAGAACCTCACTTTACCATTGTTGTCATTTTTGAGTCAAAGAAATCGGAGAGAGACTCCCACTTTATTTCTTTCCTTAGTGAGATCTCACTTGCCCTTAAGAACCCCAAGGTCTTTGCAAGTCTAAAACCTGGATCCAAAGGTTAGCAGGTGGTTTGTGTGAAAGGTATTCAAGACTGGGTATTGTGTTCTTAATTGCTCTAACGAGCTACAGTGGTCTATGATTAGAGGTTCCACCCCACCCCCACCCCGCACCACCACCCCCACACACACCCCTCCCCCACCCCATGCTTCTTGCAGTTCTAAATTCAGGACAAACCCTGCCTGATTGCGTTGCACCCTTTATAAGCAATTATGGCCAAGTGAATTACATATCCAAAGAGTAGTCTAGGAGGTGGTCATGGATGCTGGTCTCTGCAGTACAGCAAGGTATTTTTTTAGCATTTTCTTCTGTTTTCCTGTATTTCATGTAGACTAGTATTTATTGGCCTTTGATTTTTCTTTCCAGATGTTTTATATTGTTCCAAACATTGTATTCCAATGTAATTTCAAATGCCCTGTCTTTCCCTCCCCTCCTTCCTGGATGAGTAACTGAGATACTATATAAAACAGCTTTTATTAAAATCAAGGAATATTTTCTAGCTCATGAATTAGCAAATTAACATGAAACTTCAAGTTTTGTGATCAGCAAATTAATATTTTTGATGCCGAAATTAGGGTCTTGGTGAGAAAGTTCTATCAACTTTTTTTGAAATTGACAGTGAATCAGAATGGTAGCAATAGCATCTGGTTTTTAACAATTCCGAAGATTCTCGAGGCAACTTTAATAGCCAAGGTTGCTTTTGGGATGACCTGCACATCTAGCTGCATTTGTCTTTACCCTTATAACGTTTGAATTTTTCACTCTGTTTTAAAGTTAGTGTAAGCCATTAAGTGGTCGTTTCTTCCTCCTTCAGCTATTTGGCTCTCGGGTTATCACCTTTCTGTTGAAATGCATGCTTATGTTTGGCTCCACTCCCTGGTTATCTTTAGGCTGAAAAAGCAGGCAGTCTTGATTTTTCAGCCACTTTTATGCAACTTAACCTACTTCTATAAAATCAAAATGAAGGTCTTGATACTTTTTACTTGCTAAAAATCTATTGCGCATTCAAAAGACCTCTTCGTAATTGAGTAAATCCACCTACAGTTAAGCACATCTCAACCTGGGTTTCATTCCTGTCTCCTCCACATTATTTTTAGAAGCAGTGATGTATCTTAACACATGCTTCCTTGACGCTTTCCTTCAGTAGGTGTTCATGGGGAAGGAGACAGATCAGTGAAGACATAATGGTCTGTGGAGACCTTCCCTTCTAGGTTATTGATTCAAAATAAAAATAAGCCACAAAGAGTAATTGAGTTGTTACTATTTGATAGTTCCTTCAAAGCTTGTGTGCAGCATAATGATCAGAGCAGTCCCCTTTCTCGTGATTGCGTGGAGTCACGGTTTTTTACAGGGTGGCCACAGCGGGCAAGCTGGCAGCATCGGCCGAGACCAGAGAGTCTCTCAAGCCCATGTAGAAGGCCTGCCTATCTCAGACTGGACTCCCTGGTGAAAGAACCCACTGGCCTATTTTCTGTGGAGAACATGTGTTTTTCTTTTCTTTTTCCTTTTTTTAAAAAATAAAAATAAAAATATGATTTGTGAAAAGCCAGTTTGCTTTACATAGGAAGTAGAGATTTACTTCTGCATTTTATTCACTCAGGTTCAATAAAAATCTGGGCCGATTTCACAACATTTAACTTACATAAAAAATTGAAAACAATTGGAACTAATTATTCAAATCATTTTTCTTCCTTTTCGTGTTTTTTCCAAGAAGCTGAGAAATATTCCTTGGTGTTCATGAATTTTTTTCCCCCCAGATGAAACCACCATTAGCCTTAATGATATGGTGTCCGTTTACCTAAAAGAAATAGGCCTCAGTGGAGCGTGGCAGAGTGTGTAAATAAGACATATATACAATATTTAAATACTGAGTCCTCGCCTAGAACATATTTGAATTGTATATTTATTTTTAAACCTATTTTGGTTCAAGCCAGGAAACAAAGTCATTTTACTCTCTTGAGATTTGTCCTTTGAAATCAGTAATGAAATGATCTATAAAGTCTATGCTTTGCTAATGTGAAGTGAAGTGAAAGTCGCTTAGTCGTGTCTGACTCTTTGCGACCCCATTCTCCAGGCCAGAATACTGGAGTGGGTAGCCTTTCTCTTCTCCAGGGGATCTTCCCAACCCAGGGATTGAACCCAGGTCTCCCGCATTGCAGGCGGACTCTTTACCAGGTGAACCACAAGGAAAGCCCAAAAATACTGGAGTGGGCAGCCTATCCCTTCTCCAGGGGATCTTCCTGACCTAGGAATCAAACTGGGGTCTCCTGCATTGCAGGTAAATTATTTACCAACTGAGCTATCAGGGAAGCCCCATGTTTTGCTAATGGAAAGAGTAAATGCTCATATTTTCTGTAGACTGTTTGCTTTGAAATATGTTTCTAAACCACAACTTGGTCAATGTTTATAGGTGACCAGAAGTGTAGTGAACACTTACCAAGTTTGCCAACAAGCCCATCAAGGAGTGTTCATTTCAGAATGTTGTTTGGACAGAGGGTGAACATTTATGACTTTGTTCTTTGGGTCCAACCTGGTGTCTGACTGTGTCATCTTAGGGAATGTGACACTAAAGCTAAATTCTTAACCCAAGAGCCAATATCCTGTTTATAATTGCTCTGTACATTTGAAGATACTAGAGAAAATTTACTTTGAAGAGAGAAAATAGTTATTTCAACCTCACTCCCAGTAGAGTCACTCAGGTGATCATCAAAATAAGTTCACCCTTTGATCTAATAGCCAACTTGCAATTTTCTTTGGCAAGTTGGACTCTGGGTTTGACTTCCTTATCTGTAAAATGGGAATAAGGAAATATGGTCTACTTTTTCCAAAGGATGTGTAAGAAAGAGCCGAGATCACACATGTAAAAAACGCTTTGCAAACTTACTTGAATTTGAACTCTGTCAAAATAAAAGATGAACCACTGTTTCTTTAAACTTTCCTGTTCTCATCTTTCTCTTCATATTAGTGACAAACCTGTACTTAAGACATTAAGTTTGAATGGTACTTAAAGAACTAGTTTAGAAGAGGTGACAGATAAATGTCTAATCAACCCACCTGCTGTACTTATTTTAGAATCTTTGTGGTTCTTACCCAAATTTTTATCATCAGTGGAAGCATCATTTCATTTCTGTTTTCTTAGTGATATTTCTTAGTCTGGTTGCTCTATCAATTATTGAGAAGGGTAAATTAAAATCTCCAGTTGTGACTATGGATTTATTTTTGTCAGTTTTCTGCATTTTGAATTCCTTTTATTAGGCCCATACACATTTATAGTTTTTCTTTCTCATGTATTAACCATTTTATCATTATAAAGCTTCCCACTTTATTTCCATTAATACTCCTTGCTTTGAAGTCCATTTTGCCTCTTCTTTTTTCTTTTTTTTTTTTTTAGTTCTACCAGTTTATTGCTACCAACCCATCTCCCTCCACCCTCATGCACACATGCTCAGTCACGTAATCCTATGGACTTCAGCCTGCCAGACTCCTCTGTCCATGGATTTTTCCAGGCAAGAATACTGGAGTGGGTTGCCATTTCCTTTTTTTTTTTTTAAGAAAAATTAAGAATAGTTCCTTTGGCTCTGCTAGACCTTCATTGTTGCATGAGCTTTCTCTAGTTGTGACGAGCAGCACCTGCGCTCTCGTTTCAGCGCGAGGGCTGCTCATTGCGTTGGCTTCTCTCATTGTGGGACACAGGTTCTAGGGCTCCCAGGTTTTAGTAGTTGTGGTTCCCAGGCTCTAGAGCGTGGGCTTAATAATTGTGGCATACAGGCTTAGTTGCTTTACAGCCTGTGGGATATTCCCAGATCAGGGATCAAACACATCTCCTGCACTGACAGGCAGATTCTGTACCTCTGAGCCATTAGGAAAACCTTTGCCTCATTTTTATGACCATTCCAGCTTGTTTATGTTTCCTGTTTGCCTGGTGTGTCTTTTTCTATCCTCTCACTTGTCATTTATTTGTATCACTGTTTTTAAAGTGTGTGTAGTGAGAACTAGGGAATACTGATTAAAAAGAGCAGTATCTGACAGCCTCTGCCTTTTGATTGAAATGTTTAGTTCATTTCTCCTATGAGGTTTTCACAGTCAGGGTTTTGCTGATGGCATCCTCAAACCATTATTTAACACGCTCTCTGTTCTCTCTCTTTTCCCCTTCATGCTGGGAGTTAGATCAAGATGTTTGATCAGATTCAGTAATTGCTTTTTTTTGGTAGCAGGTGTTGTCATTTTGGGCTTCCCACATGGTGCTAGTGGTAAAGAACCGATGCAGGAGATGTAAGAGAATGAGAGACAGGGTTTCCATCCCTGGTTGGGAAGATCCCCTACAGGAGGGCATGGCAGCCCACTCCAGTATTTTTGCCCAGAGAATCTTATGGACAGAGGAGCCTGGCAGGCTATGGTTCAAAGGGTCGCCAGGAGCCGGACATGACTGAAGTGACTTAGCACACGCACACACACGTTGTGTGTTTTATTAGACAGCTAATACCTGGCATTGCCTAAATTGGTTGTATTAGTAGAGGTTACAAAACTGTTGGAGTCTAAATATGGCATTCCAGTTTCATTTATTGGACAGATCTGCAAAGAGGAACTGCACCTCCAACTCTTTAGTTACCTTGAAGAACAGCTCATAAAGGGGTGGCTGTATAAACGCTTTATTCTTTTGTCAGTTCTGAAAATGGTGAGTTTTGCAGCATCTTCCAGAGACATTGAGGAGTTTGTAAAGAAATGTGTAGGAATTTATAAGGATTTCTGCCTTTTGCCTCTTAGCTTTAACCCTGAATCTGAATCAAAGCAGCCATTTTTTCCACTTACTATAGACACTTTCATATGAAAATTACAACCTTCCCTTGTTTCTTCTTCATAGTTGATTTTTCTCTCTTGATTACTGTTAACTCCTCTCCTCTACTTTTTCCGCCCTCTCTAGTTTCTAATACCTTCCTCAGCAATTCCACGTTAGCCACTAACATTCTTCCCACTATGGCCATGCCACCCTGAATGCGCCCGATCTCGTCCGAAATTCTTCCCATGCTTCAGGGAGCCAGTATCCTAGTGGTCTCTGACCCAGTTTTGGAAAGCAGCATCTGAAAATATTTATTTTGATTGCTTTTA